AAATCATCTGCTGATGCATTTTTGGTAGATTTAACACAGAACAAATTAAGTTTAGTCCAAACAAATGGTGACAAAGTTAAGTTTGCTGGTTCATGTTTTTCTTCTCCCTTTGATTAAGGTGAAGTATTTTTCACATGTTAGTCAGAAGCCAGTGATGTGGTAGTAGCTGAACGTAGACTAAAAATTTAATTCTTAATTTTAATTATTTATTTACTTAACTATTTTGACAGTTAAATTTTAATTTTAGTTATTTTCTAATTTTTCTTTGTCCATACTTGATTACTTAAAATAAAATTATTTTAAAAACATGCATTCCAAGAGAGGAGACATCACAGAAATACAACAAGCAAATTAACCTTCTATTTTTGCATTTACAGGAAATATCTCAAGAACAAGAAATAAACAAGGATTGTGATAGAGAGGTATACCTTTATATTCAAATGTTTCTGTTGAATTCAATTTTTACATTATGTTGTTTAACAAAGTGTACTAAGTGTAGGCATACATGATCCTATCATGTAAGTAGCATAAATCATCAGTGAAAAATTTAACGTTTAACTCAGAAAGAATTCTGTACATTGAGGTTTAAAGAGATACAAACCCTAGAGATACTCTTTCATTATTCTCGAATAATCCTGAATGGTGTTGTAAAATGCTGGGTCATGCCACTTTAGGAGCTTTGGATCAATCGTTTTATCTTTATTGGTTTTAGTCTGATTATCAATAGATAATGTGGCTAAAGAAGATAATTTCTTATTCTGTGTATCTTCCAGCTAGAAAATTGTATGACTATTGAATGTGAAATTTGGGGAGCATCTCATTTTCTGGGATTCCATGCTCCTACCTCAGCAGTTTCACTCTGCTCCTTGTGTTGTGGCAAACTTTGGTTCCCGTGTTTCAGTGAGAACCATCATGTTTTTGATAACCCAGGAACCAAATGAAAAAAGAATGGTCAAAGGCAGTGGGGGAGAAGAAAATCTCAGTGCAGAAAAGGGCAATCTTCCTTTCTATTCCTGAAGCCCCACAGTGTCTCATCCTCTAAATCTAACTGCTTAATGTAAGATCTAGGTGGTAAAGACAGAAGAGGACACATTTTGTGTCTTTGTCTTTTTATTTGTGTGTTCCTACGAGTCAAATGGGATAAATACATATATAAGATTCTGAAGAGTGGTTGGGAATAAAAGCACAAAATGAAGGAGGGCCATTTTTGAATTTTGGAAAATTCTATTTTATTCAGTCAAACAGAAATAAAGAAAACTTTACAAATATTTCAGTGATACACTAATGATATGATAATTACATCTTAAAATTATATGGTAATAGTTATGTATATATGATCAAACTTAAGCGTGAAATATTTTTAATGACTAAAATAATGATACACTGAGTCAATTGATAAAATCAATTAAAAAGGTTCTTTTTATTCAATAAAGTGATAACCATCCTTAATATCAAACTTCCACCCAAGGTTGAAGAAGTAATGAAGAAGCACGGAAGTAATCATGTGAGATTACCAGAAAACCTGACTAATGATGCCACTGCTGGCAATGGTGATGATGGATTAATTCCACAAAGCAAGAGCAGAACACCAGAAAGTCAGCAATTTCCTGACACTGAGAATGAAGAGTATCACAGGTAAGCCTATGGCAACATTTAACAGGAGACAACCATGTGCTGTCAAACTAATCCTAATTTGGCTAATATTCATGATTAACAAATTTTGTACTTTTGCTAGGATATTCAGCCTCACCTGGTAATCAGAAAAATGGTAATCAGCAAAAAACGAGTTACCATTTTTTCTAGTCATAAATTTATTTGAGAAATAACCAGTATTGGCAAATTTGAGGGGACAGGCATTTTCTTTTCTTTTTAGTTAACTTTTATTTTAGCTTCAGGGGTACATGTGCAGGTTTGTTATATCGGTAAACTGTACCATGGAGGTTTGGGCTACAGATTATTTCATCAGCCACATAATAAGCAAAAGATCCAAAAGGCAGTTTTTTGGTCATCTCCCTCCTGCCACGCTCCACTCTCAAGTAGACCCTGGTGTCTGTTACTCTCCTCTTTGTGTCCATGAGTTCTCATTGTTTAGTTCCCACTAATGAGCAAGAATATGTGGCATTTGATTTTCTGTTCCTGC